TAGTGACAGGTTTACTCCCAAGAATTGTCTTTTCCTGTATTGTTATTACCTTAGTCAGTGCTCTGCTCAAAACCACACAAGGCTGTTCTGTGCACTGAAGAAAGTGTTATGAGTGATGAAACAGTACAATAAACATTAGTTGTCTTGGCTCTCCTTCATAATATTCCACTTCAACTTAAAAGTTAAATTGAGCCTCTCAGTGTGGCTGTTCAAACATCTTGCGCATCTCCCAGCTGTGCAGTGTGCCCCTTGGACCTCATTACCAAATGTAAGTACTTGAACAATCCAAGCCAGGTGATTAGCAGAAAGACTGTTTCTATTTGTATTATGGTATCAGTAATTTTTTGATGTGTATGCTGCTTGATTTATTCATTTCAGGACTGTACATTTGTGGGTTCCATGTCTTTGTTTAATAGATAAGTTATGTATCACCTACTACATAAATAGCTTGGAAGCTGAGAGCCTCACAATGTGGAGTGATAGAGCCAGGAATGAAATGGAAAGGTAAGCGTTTAGAATCATGAATTCATCCTCCAGCAATGCTGGTTTTGTTGTACTATGGAGCTAATATTTTCTCCCTCTAACCTTCTATACTTAGCCCTTATTTACAGTTCTAATAATCCCCTAGGATACTTTATTATTTTTAGATTATAAGATGTTTGAAAAGTTTTAACCTGTACATTGTCATTGACTGTGTAGTAAACAAAGCTAAAATCATAAAGAAAAGCAATCTAACTGTTGTATGTGAGTTATGAATAAAAATTGACTGGAGGGGGTCTGAAAAACAGAGGACAAAGAATTAACTGTGAAACTAACAAAACCTACACAATGTAGGTTGTTCGGTTGTTCAATGAGGAATATTTTCCTGTTTATATATGTGTATTTTGCAGTGCTTGCTTCAAATTCATTGTCCTTTTTAGAAAAGTAAAATAATGAACAGATTATATTGCTCCATTTCAAGGCAGAAAACAACAGAGAAAGAGAATTGGAACACTAACATATAAAAATAAAGGCGATTTTTACTGCCAGTGTTCTGATCCAAATATTTATCTGTTTGTTTGTTTCCTAACTCATACAAAATTGATGCTTGTGGAGGTATTGGATTAAAAGGGTTGGAAAATGAATTCTTCTAGTTATCCACAGAGAACATAGAGTACCAATGAAGCAATGAAAACTTCTTCAGTTTGAATAAGAAAAGTATTATGTATAATTTTAAGAAATGAAATCTAGTGTCATATAGAAAATTATGTTTTAGAGCAACAGTATCAGGAAAGAGACGGATACTTGTCTCTGCTGTGGCTGGAATGGGTCACCTTTTACTCAGGTCTGTCCAGCAGATGGGGAAGCTTTACTTCCATGGCTCCGAATGGGAAAACTATCACCATTATCAGGCATTTCACCTGTTTGCTTGTCAGCCAGTCACCTCTCCTCAAGGCTCTTACACCATCCACTTCTTGCAAATTCAGAACACATTTCCTATGCTACTGAATTTGGCTGGATCCAGACCAGAGATCTACATGTAGAAGACTAAAAACATAAGGAGGCTCTGTTCTACTAGAAATTTATTTAGCAATCAGATGGAAAACTTGGCTTCAGGGGAAAAAAAAGAGCTAGATATGAGAAAGAGATGAAAAAGTCAGTCCTGGATAAAAGTATTTCTAATTTTTAACATAAATAAAAGCATTATTAAAGGTTTTTATGAGTCATGCCAACTTCTACAGAGATGAGAAATGTAATGAAATGGTATCTAAGTCATTATAAATTCTGCAATTTACACAAAAGAGGAAAATCAATGTTTTCTACTTCATTTTTAGTGTTTCCCTTCATACCTTGCATACTTATTAAAATGTAGGGCTTCAAGTACCCATAGAAAAATACAAACGTGCAGAGAAAATTACCACTAAAAAGAAAAAAAAAACAACCAAGTCCTATAACTGGATTTAAAATAATTCAGCCCTGCCTAAAGAGTCAAACCATGTTCTTTCTCCTCCCTACATAAAAGTTACACTCCTATTCATAACAACAGAAGAAGAAAAGCACAGTTGGTTCATAACACTGGACATAGCTTTCCAGAAACAAGATAGCAACTACTTAGAAATGTTATGGAAAACATTAATCACAGAGTAACTTGCTATTTACATTAAAGATAATAGTCTTTAGCATTAATTAAAAATAAAATAAACTCATCCTCTCCCCGACCCCCGGTTTTAGTCATAGGACAGTTTTGTCTAGAATGTGGAGTCTCTGTTCTTTATGTTTTACCCAGCTTTTTTTTTTAGATATGTATCTGTACATACATAGACGTAAATCTGAGAGATGTATCAAAAGCTGTAACATATCTGAATGGAGAGCCTGCAAATTTCATCTGAGACTACACTTGCAGTAGACAAACCTCTCCCGAAAAAAATGCTGGAATGACACATTTTAATGAAATGGCATTCCCTGTCCATGATCCACACAGGATCCACGTAGAAACCTAAACATCTGTAGAAGCAGAGCTGACTGTAGCAGTGCAAGTTCCCAGGTGCCACCAGGTTGAAGAACCCCAGACCTTGTGGGATGCAGTAGTTTCCATCTCTGCAGAGGCTGATGGGGCAGATGCAGAGGAGGGCCCATGGTGGTCATGTGGAGAGCTGCCAGCCTCCAGACTTCAGACAGAATCCTAGTCCTTTGGCAGTCAGTGGGAGCCACTCCTGTTGATGACAGTTGGAGCTGGATGAAGACCCATGGAAGCAGCAGGCTCTGAGGAGGGGAATGCAGGACAGGGCATCATCAATAGCCTGATCCAGCCCCAGCTCTGCCATGGCATCATGCAGCAGGCTCTCAGTTCTCACTAGGATCTACAAACCAACTCGCTGCTGTCGTGCTTCTTCCACAGGATGATGGCTGGACTGGACAGAAACTGTCGAGCACCACAGCTCTTCTTATTTTTACACATGCAGAATGCTTGTGGGCAGCTGTCTCCAATTCTGAACCAGGAAAATCTAGCTGAAGGATGTGCCCCTGAACAGAGGAAAGACTCTGTGCTTCCAGCAGACAGCACTCAGCTGCCCAGTCTCCACCTTAACTTGCTGAAACCAGTGCAAATTCACAGGAAAAAGAATGTCCGCATTGAAAGGATAGAAATCCTTTCTTACGTGGGAGAATGGTACAAGCATTTACCCGGCACCTCTATCAAATATCATAGAAAAGGTTACACAAAAATATTTAAATATATGGATACAGAGACATAGATATTATACTTGCATAAAATATGTATATTCAAAACCCTCTGGGCAGTTTCACAGTTAGCTGAAAATGTATGCTTTAGAAATATGAACAATTTCCTACACTTTTCTAGTTTAAGTAGGAGGGGGGAGGGGAAAGAAGCATCAGCCTTATTAATACTGAATGCTAAGTGCAGAAGTTTAGCTGTAGCTGTAGGGTTTTGAAGCAATTGATGTGACAGAACCTCCAAGCATAAACTCTGTTTTAAAAATCCACATCTATTCCCTAGATTGCTTATTGTTTCATGAAAGTGAAAACCTACGTGTCCTGTTCGTATCAGCTAGATCTCCTGAGACCATTCAATTAAACCTCGTAAGCTTGCAGTACTTCAAGATAGGATTGTGTACTGGAAGTACACATGAGCAGTTCAGTGTGATAACAGGAATTTACAACTTCTTGTATCTTGTATAATTTAACTTTAGAAATAAAAAAAAAAAAACCAACCTTAAATGACACCACAAGAATCTCACAGTTCTGAAAAAATTAAAGTCAGTATGAAATTTTACTTATAGACCACATAATTTACACAGATTTACATACAGAGATATTAAAATATTAAATCAAAGCTACTTAACAGAGGATAGAGTTTTACATGATAAAAGATTTTAATTCTAGTTACATTTTTGCAACTACTTTTAGTGTCATGAGATTGTATAAATAATATATATACCTGTATATCCATAATATATATAAAGATATATATATCTCCATCCTTCTTTTTCTCTTCAAAAACAGGGCAATTTTATAACTGCAATGAGATGTGACAAGCAGTACACTTCTGGGGAATTATTGCATGCCTTGAGTGCATAAGGCAGAAAGAAGAGTATCTGACTTTCAGACACTGAAGAAGCAGAATCATCAACCAGAAATGCACTGGAGTGACTTGGAACATCTTATTGCTTTTATAAAACTCAAAATTATACACTGTTGGTGGGTTTTTTTGTCCTTTTGTGTGTGTGTGTGTGTGTGTGTGTGTGTGTCTTGTTTTGTTTAAAGGCACAAAATAAAGGGGAAAGTAATATCTCTCTATTTAGTGGAGATCGACGATCAGGAAGCTCCATTACTGATCACTGAACACTTTTCATTGTCCTAAATCTAATCCCTGTGGTGCAATACTGTGCTGCAGTTGCATAAGGAGGTTAAACACAAAAGTTCATGCATCCTTTATTAGGGGAAACAAAACAAAGCCAATTTCCTCGCCCAGCAACAACCAGGAAGCCATTAGCATCCTATCATCGGGGCTGGGGGCGAGAGTCAGCCATCGCTCCCATCAAACTACAATGTGCACAACCCCACTCGGCCGCAGGAACACTTGCCACACTAAACTCAGCTGGTGGAGCAGCTCCGTGAGCTGGGTGATACAGGTTTGCCTAAAACGCTGGAAGCACAGATCCAAATGCAACAGCAATTTGTCATCATACCAGGAAAGACTGGAACAGGATAAACCCATGTAACAGAAACACTGCCCTGAAATCTCTGCATTTTGGGGCTATTAGGGGATGATGGAGCACTTCTGCCACCTTCTTTCTCAGTTTTAAATTGGTTAATGGCTTTCACTCTCGGCTTAGTATCACACTCCGCCCCGGGATTTCTGTAGCCTAACAGCCACCCTGGGAGGCAGAGTAGAGCAGAGAGGGAGTAAGTGATTACAAAATACTAGAAGCTGTGGACTCTTAACTATCTCCTCAGATCACTTTGAATGCCAGGCTAGAAAGAAAAAATAACTTTAAAAAAAATACCAACCAAAACCAAAACAAAGAAATCCCTCGGGATCACTTTTTCTTTGCTGTATTTTCAGACGTTAATATGCACAGTAGAGGGCTGCCTCTGCTATGATACCACACAAGATGATTCAAAGTTTGGATATGCGCTCTGTTAAGGCACCTTCAAGCAGTGGTCATTGACTTAGTCACTAAGCAAAGCTGCATTTTCTGTACCCGATGCTGCTTCAACCAACACACACAGCACTAGCAGCCACTCACACCTGCCATCCATGAACAAAAAACTCCGGGTGCTTGCTAGGGAGAAACTATACCAGCCACTTCGAAAATAAATAGAAGCAGACATTTTGCACAACTGCATGGTTTCTTCCCCAAGAGAGGAAAGGGGAGAAAATTAAGTGTTGTCTCGCCCTAATTGTTTACTAGATTAGGAGGGTTAGAAATATCTGTCAGCCTAAAAAAGTAGAAGCCACCCCTGTACTGCTGCAGGATTTCTTGCTAGGAGGCGAAGCTGTAAATGCAGACATTCAGAGCAGGGTGCCTGGTGCAGAACTGATTGTTTCAGGACCTACAGGAGGCACAAGGTCAACCTCCCCTGGGAGAGGATAGGGAAGTTACTGCACATCACCTCATCCTGCCACACAAAAGGGTTTGGGTTTCAGGGTTCATGGCACGGGGATGGGGGGCATTTGAAGATGAAGGGAGCTGAGGGGACAGGAAAGCTCAGGCGTCACTCTGTGCAGACAGCTGGCTCCATCGCCCTCTGACACTGGGCTACTCAGCACTGCAGCTGGGGCACAGGGCTGTGGGGCTGGAGGGCACTTGCAGTTAAGCCCAACTAGGGGTGGCCATCTCTACACAAAACGATAGCCAGTCCTGGAAAGGAGTGAGAGGGATGGGACAGGGGCATAAGTCCTAGCACAAAACGACAGAGACCAGGGTGGACTGTTGCCCTGCTCCAAGAGGACAGGGGATCCCAAGGCACCCGCCAGACCTGCCTCTCCCCCTTCACCATGCACCCATGCCCAACCCACACCATGCAATGGTGACACAGGGTGAAGTGGAAATCCCAAGAGAGTGGGACTCAACCGGTCCTCAGGGTTATGATGTCCAGGGGAAAGGGACCCACCCACACCTCTGACCCTCTCCTCCAGGAGGACGACTTGATATTTAGAGCTGTGTGCAGCTCCTCCAGTAAAAAGAAGCATCCTTTCCTCACATAGTCAGTGAGAAACGCAAGGTGATCTGTCATGCGCTTGGATCATGGGCTTGTTTGTTAATTTTAATTAGCAATGTTTTCTTCTTCGGGGGCTAGAATAATCACTCAGGTATTTACAAACACCAGCCAGCGCCTTCGCGAGGTCTCCCCCAAATCATCATGACAAAATCACTGTCTGCAGCCCAGCACCAGCTGTGTCCAAACAAGCCCGTGCTTGCTGAGAGCTTGGGGCTGCCGAGGGAGAGGGGCGCTGGATTTCCGAGTCCTGTGGGGGTCTTCCCAGCCGGCTGTCTCTTCCTTGAGGTGCCTCTCCCTGCATCCCTGTCCCAGGGTTCTGGCTGCTGCTATTGCTGCTGCGGGTGCAGTGGTCCCGTTCATACTCCTCCTGAGCCTTTTGCATTTTTCGCTTCTTCATCTTCCTCTTGTGGATGTGGAAGGTGGTGAGGGAGAGGAGGATCAGGCAGAAGATGAGGGTGACCAGGACAATCAAAACCACGGTGGATGAGAACGACTGGAACAGTTGACCCACTTGCGTGATGCAGGTGCTGCTGGTGTTTAAGGTGGCAGATGTTCTGTTCAGGAGACAAGGTGGCAGCGACAGCCTCAACTCCTTGGAGAGCTTGGCACTCATTGAGGAGGCTTCGGAAGATGAGGATCTTCCTCCCCTCTCCGAAGACGTCTGAATTTCGACCGGTGCCGGGCTGCTGGCGAGCGCTCGCTGTAAAAGCCCGGGATGCTGCCGGCTCAGCCTCACTCTCGCTCTGAAGTGACAGAGCAGCCTGCAAAGGAGCGGGACACATCAGCGCTCCGGGGAACCCACCCTGGGCAGCTCCCAGCTCTACAGGACCCCGCCGGCGGCTGCGGCAGCCTCCTCCCCGCGCCCGCCAAGGCAGCGCGACGAGCGGCCCCGGCTCGCTGCAGGGGGACAGCGGGACCAGGACCGGGACGGACCATCGCGCCGCCACACCGACTTCGCAAATCACTCGGCATCTCGGGCAGCACCGCCCGGTCGCTCGCCCCAGCTAGTTGCCGCGGGAAGGGAGAGCGAGAGGGAGGGAAGGAAGGATGGAGAGAGCGGCTGCCCGAATCGCGAACCCCGGCGGAAACCTCCGCCCCAGAGCCCCTTACCTGGGCGGGCGGAGGGAGCGCCCGTGCGCCGCGGGCGCTGTGTGCTGCGCTAGCGCGGAGTGAGTGCGCAGAGCGGAGCCACCGCCGCTTCGGGGAGCGCCGCCAGCAGCCGACAGCCGCCCCGGCCGGTGACGTCAGCGGCACGCCGCGCCCGCCCGGCCCCGCCTAGGCCCCGCAGCCACGGGCGCGGCAAGGGACCCGCTGCCGCCCGCAGCCCCCCGTGGCTCCACGTCCTTCGCATCCCCAGGCTCTGGGACCGGCCCGGGCCCCTTCCCCGGGCACCCCAGCACTGGCCCCAGCCAGCCCCTGTCCCCGAGTGCCCCTCCACACACCGCGGCACAGCGACCACCTCTCGCCAAGCAACCCCTGCGCCTTCTTCTCCAGGGGTGCTGTGTACCCACCGCCATCACACCGCGTCCCACCCGCACCAGGGTCCCCCACAGCCGCGGGAGCGCCCGTCTCTCCTCACAGCCACCACACCGCTCGCTTCCACGCTTCCAGCGGGGCTGGTGGGAACCAGAGAGAGCAGAAATGCCGAGGCGCCCGTGCCAAGTTGTGACAGACATCACCGGGAGCACTTGTGAAAACTTGCCTTGCCAAGACTAGGTGTGTTGCGGCTGCTTTCTTCAAGAACAAACGGGTATGACCGGCCCATTAATACATTTAAGCTAAAAATCTAACAATTTCTAAACATAAAAGAATTCATGATTTGAAAAAAATACTTCCAGTAGAGATAATGGTGCAAAAATAATCATTACCTTTAGGATGGAACTTTTCAGATTGCTGAAAGGAACAAAGTGATGTGGTTGTGCACAGCAACAGGGGCAGGACCTGGTGTCCCAGAAGGTTCCTTCAGTCCCGTGTTGTGTGCAGGGAGCAGTTACTGTAAACCTCTATGTGAATCACAGGACTTTAAGGAGCAATAGAAAGTACCAGTCTTTTCTGGGGGCCTGAAGCCACCTGAAAAGCCTAGAGGAAAATTTATACAAGACAAGCTCTGACATAAACTGGAAAACCCTTCAAGAACAAAGATGTGTCAGATTTGTGGACCATGACAGCCAAGAACCTGTCTCAGAGGTGGTAGGAGCTGATAAGCTCGGCATTTAAGCATTTTGTTGTTTGAAGATAGATTTCCTCTGTACTGCTTTTGCCTCTGATAAACACACTGCAGCCTGTGAAACTTGGCCAGTCACTACTAACTCTATGATGGTTCTGGAGAAAGACTTACACTACAGGGGATGAGCAACATCCAACCCAGCTGGGATACTTCCGATCATTTGCAAAGGGACTGCAACTTCAGGCTTCCTCTAAACCCAAAGGAATAGAGGTTCCCATTACTCACTCTCCAGAATGACATGGTCTGATGCTTTAGAGGGGTGCTGCAGGGGCTGCCCAGAGAGGAAAGCTGAGTCCAGAGCTGAAAGACAAGCCCTTATTCATGTACCCACTGCTCCTCGCATTCAGCAACCCCATGTACATACCCAGTATCACTGCCCAAAACACACCTCAGCCACATTTCCTGCACACATGCATACCCCCTCTTGCATACCAGCCACATCTGCATATCCTCACTGACATTATGTCTGCACCCCTTTCTTTCCCCATAAGAATAGCCTTTTGCACAGAAAACAGCACTGACAGCTGTAATACAGGAATGAAAGTAACTTAGGATGTTATCCCTGTTTATGGCAGAAATAACCAAATTATGAATTGAATAAACTTCAAAGCCAAAGAATTTGCTAACTCATGATGTGGTTACTGCAAAAGGTAATAGGACTACTCAGTTGTACCAGAATATTTTATTATGTCTTCAGGTTTTACCTGTTGGAAAAGGAAACACAAAGCTACTGAAAGTTAAATTGCCTTGGATAAATTTAAAAATCTTCATGTATTATTTTAACTTGTCTTTCACCATCTTACCATTTGTCTCAAGCTGCCTCTTCCCGACTCAGCCACCCTTGTCCCTGCTCATCCACTTTCACCCAGACCAGTGGGCTAAAATGCCCAGGAGGATCCATGTATGTTTTACTTGATACTTTCACAATGCCACTCACATTATTCCTTGCTTTCAGGATTAGCAAATAGTAAAAATGAGTATTGGTACAATATTAATTCCAAGTACAAGGCTTTTCCTAAATGGTAGGGAGTAAAAGATGGGTGCTGGGAGTGGAGAAGGGAAGAGGCCTCAGTCTTACTCCTTCCCTGCTGTCTCAGCCTCTTTCTGTCTGTGACTGTGTACAATTTTGGAATATTTCTGTTTCATCCAATAGTTATGAAAAGCATAGGTAGTCCTTGCTCTTACTTGCAATTAATTTCACAATTTTAAATGAGTGAGGCAGTCAGAAGAGGAGCATTGTGGAGAAGAGGGGAAATAACTATACTGTAATTATGTATACCTCAGCATTATGGTTCATACTGGCTGCCAGCCAACCGAAGTACATAGATTCAAGTACCTATGATCAGAATACAGGAAGTTTTAGAAATCAGGGGGGAGAAAATCTGTATTGCTATGGACCAGTAGCTGTGTATAATTTCCTTGCTATGATTAACTGGTATAATTAGATTTGAATATAAAAATAAAATAATAATAAAGAATATATTTCTAGTAGATAATGTGGTCATGAAAAACCCTTCCTTTATTTAGCAGAAAAGAAAGGATATGGTATCTTCAAGAGTGCCCTCTTTCAAGAATAAATTGCTTGTTAGTTATAGTGCACTTCCCAACAGTATATGCAGGGAATGACATTTATGGAGGTTAGGTTTCTTCTTCGAGTAGGATTGACAGTTGTGTGGTAAAGGATATTGTAGTAAGGGGATAGTTTTTGTATTTTACAACAATGTTTGTATTCATTACAACCTTGATAACTCCCAGTCTTCTCTGAAATCACATTGTTAAGAAGCAGCCAGCATACATACTTGCAAACCCCACAGATGGACTTCTGTACATGGATAATTTTTAATCTATTAATTAGAGAAGTTGTTCCTTCAGATGCTGATTCTTCAAGCCCTGCATTGCAAGGCTCTTTTTCGCCAAGGCAGTTGCCAGATGGGATAACCTGTATGAGCAGACGCTGGTCATGTAAGTAAAGGTTTGATGGTTCAGGCCCTTGGCTACTAATGACCCTTCTCGAAAAAAGTGTATTGTCCCACCGTTTAAATTTAGCAGTTGATTGCGTATGGAATAATGCATGACCCCTTTTGCACTGAGATTGATGTCATCATTCACCAGACAGAACATGTACACCATGAATGCCAATGACTCTCATATTAATTTGCAGTCTCCCCATGGGATTAAGGCCATCTGTGTAGAAGTCTTTTAGGACACTACACACTCCCACTACTATAGGTGAACCCCAGTGATTTAAACATGGTCTGAAACCCTAGTGCTGTAAATAGAATTAATTTTAAAACCAAATAAAATAGATTTGTATTTCATGAGCATTCATAGGTCAGCTAAGATCCTACACATGTAAACACTGGTCTTGCAAGGATTCTGTAAGTGTCTTTGAGAGATTTTGATGGGAAATGACTATAGCTGAGAGTGCTGCTTTCCAGGCTACCAGCACAGAAGCAGATAGTCTTTTTCTTTCTCTCTTTTCCTTACATCTTCTAGAAGAGGGCAGTCAGAGCGATGTGGGCTCCCAATTGCTTCATTCTCAGGAGATGATTCCTTATGAAGCTTAAGGAAAATTTTACATATTCAATTTCTATTCTTACTTTAGAAAAATATTTTCTCATTCTGATAAAGGAGAAACCTACCATGTGGGATGTTGAGAAGAAAAAAAGTAAGGATAATGTGATGCTGACTGAAGAAGATTACTAAGTTTTTGGTGATTTCAATAGGGTGTTGAATGGCACCAGGAGTAGACTATAAGGAAATAAATAGACAGCATTGTTCATGCCTGTCTCAGTACACAGATCTTCCGTTTAATTATAACAACAGAATTCAAAACCTGCAACATACATGCATCTACTAATGAATAGCAGATCTGGGTAAAATTAATACAAAGGAGGGAAAAAGAATCAGGATTTTATCTGTAACTGTATAGTAAGGGTTTTGTTTAGTTTTTCATTAGACAATACATTTCAGAAAGTCAGAATCAGTGTAATGGCCTTTCAGATTTAATCTTTTTGCTCTTCTTAGTAGTTTACAGAGTTTTCAGAGAATTTAGAAAAGCAGGCTTTAATTACATTTTCTAAATAGAGAACATGGCTAGTGGTTGGTGAAACATAAGCTGACCATACTAGTGGGTATCACAGAGAGAAAAAACAAATTTGTATTGATTAGTTAAGCTGGAGAGAGGTTTAAGAGTAATGATCCACATTTAAATCTGATTTCATGTTAGTAGCACCTCACCTGCTTCCCCTACCACAGACTGAATGCATTTCAGAGCTAATTCAACATATCCTTCACTCCAGGTTTTAATAAAGGATAAAGCTCTTGTTCAGTCAAATTCAGTTTGTAACAGAGTCAGATCCAGCCCTGGAGGATGTGGGTTTGTGCAAGCCTGCATTGCATTGTATGAGCTAGGGCATTCTCTTATCCCAACAGAGGGTGAAAATTCCAAGGGAGAGAAAGAAACAACACACCTTCCATGGGTTATCCCATAGGCTAAGAAGAGAGTGGTCCTGATGGTTGCTCATGCGATCTATCTGGATATTTAGATGAACTGGAACAGCAACAATGTGAAAGGGACACACGAGATAGGAGTCTGGTGACTGTTGTCTGCAGACAGGAGGCTGGTAGAGAAGGGACTTGAATCTGGGTCTTTCATCTCCAGGTGGCACGTGGCTCAGCCTAAGACAGGAGATTTTCTTGTTCATTCTACGCACATAACAATCCTCCCGCAACCTGTAACATCCTGGCTTTCTTCCAGGGAGGAAATCTAAGAAAGCTGGGAAAGTGTAATGGATGAAAAAGCCATTTACCTCTAGTTGTACCAGAAAAAATCCATGCTTAGTGAAGTCCAGACTCACTGCGCTGTTCATCAGTGAAGTACACAGCTCAGATTTTGCCCAGGGCCTTTTATAATCCTGTTTTTACCAACTATGTGTGAAGAAGGAAGTTAGTAGCATTCATTATTATTCTTTTCTGCTTTTATTTCCTAGGCCCTAAGCACTCAAG